CAGCACAGGGCACATATAATTTGTACCAGAGCAGTTTGGAGAGCAGAAAATGAAGAGTTTTATGAAGGAACTTTTTTATCGCTTCCTTCAGAAATTTTTGAGGTTTCCTGAGATTTTTTTCTTAGAGCTGGTAGAGGATTTTCAGTCTAAGTGTTTCCCCTCTTGACCGCATGTTGGATTGCATGCAGAATTGGGGAGGGGCAAGGGGGAGCTTTTAGCCTTACAATTTCACCCCATTTAATAACTTCAGAGTTGAGAGACATTGACTCTGCTGAACAGATTAATTATAACCTGCACTGTTTCTGTTTTATAATATTGGTAAAAAAGCTTTTTTGCATGAATGGCTACTTAAAGAATTTCTGTCTTTGTGGAGAAATTAGAAATAGTTGACCAGTTTCACACAGTAAAAACCTTCCTGACTGGGAGACTTAGATGGTAAAGGTTCTAACTAATAGCTTTATAAGGTGTTAGTTAAACCTTTTAAATTTTGTCACAGTATTGAGAGGTAATAAACAATTCAGCAGTTCCAATTTTTTTTGTCACACAAGTATTTAAACCTAGTATTTTTGTTGGTGTGTGTGTTACCTTTATAAAAATAGAATGCCGTTCCTATAGTAATGGTTTAAAACATAGAGGTGACTTCCTTATAGGACTGAAGGCGTGTATTGCTTTTAAAACTGGGATTTCATTTTAAATGTGGTTTAATGCAGCTGCTGACAGCGAGTGGAAGTAGCTATAAAATGGTCTTGTTAGTTATTTACTTTGGAAAAAAAGCCAGTGACCTTCACCCCACTCCCTGCCCTCACCCAATCCCTGTTTTAGTGAAATGTTCTTGTTTTAATTCAAAGGACTATAGTACTAGTAATTAAAACAAGTGCCCCAAGGCATTTGCAGGGATTAAGGTTACCACGAGGTAGGTACTGTACAGTGATGGGAAGGAAACAACCCCTGCTCTCATGGATTTACTGTCTAGAGGAGTGCCCCAAAACTGGCACAGAGTTCGGCTGTGCGATGCTTGTGGCTAATAAGAGTACCTAGTGAGGTGTCCTTAAAGGATCAAATTCTTACTGATCTTGCACAATTTTTATTTTTTAGGTGAAATCAGATGCTACTGTGATGCTGCACACTGTGTTGCAACCGGCTATATGTGCAAATCTGAGCTTAGCGCCTGCTTCTCCAGACTGCTTGATCCTCAGAATACACATTCCCCACTTACTCATGGCTGCTTAGACTCTATTGCAAGCACAGCTGATATCTGCCAAGCCAAACAAGCACAAAACCACTCTGGCACCACTACCATGTCCACATTGGAATGCTGTCATGAAGATATGTGCAATTACAGAGGACTACATGATGTTTTGTCTCCTTCCAGGGGTGATAATTCAGGTAGGGAGGAAGCTTCAGTGAAATCTCTCTTCTGGCCATCAGGCTGGTGACAGTCAAAACCTTGTATGTCTGCTATTGATTTGGTTGTTAATGTAAGTAGAGACACCAGAGGGAGAAGTGGGTGGCTGGATGCAGGGGAGCATCTCAGCTGAGGAGCTTTTTTTTTGTTTGCACTAATACTAGAGGTCTGTTTTGCCAACTTGACATCGCTTCTAAGAAGCAGTGGCATTCCTAGTTAAATCAGTTATCAGAGTAAGAAACTATGTTACAAAAAGCCTTAGAAACTTGTCTGTTTCTTTATAGGACTATTTTCTGTAGATACTGTGGAGTGTGTAGCTGTGGCTCCTTAAACTTGTCAGTGTGGTGTTTAAGGGAGTTGCTTTTATATAAACCAGTTCTTGATACTGAAGCTTCACATCTTTTCCCCCTTGCAGGACAAGGGAGCAGATACCAACATGACAGCATCCGGAATCTCATCACCAAGGTGCAGGAATTGACCTCTTCGAAAGAGTTATGGTTCAGGGCAGCTGTCATTGCTGTTCCTATAGCTGGTGGGCTAATCTTGGTGCTCCTTATCATGCTGGCCTTGCGGATGCTCAGGAGTGAAAATAAAAGACTGCAAGATCAACGACAGCAAATGCTCTCCCGTTTGCACTATAGCTTTCATGGACATCATTCGAAAAAAGGGCAGGTGGCAAAACTGGACTTGGAATGCATGGTGCCTGTGACTGGTCACGAGAACTGCTGCATGACCTGTGATAAAATGAGACATTCAGACCTCAGCAATGATAAAATTCTTTCGCTAGTCCACTGGGGAATGTACAGCGGACATGGGAAGCTGGAATTTGTATGACCAATTATTTTTACATCTGAGCTAAACTTACTCTCTGAACTCTTGAAGGCCTTTGGGTTCTGCTGGACAGGAGCACTTTATCTTAAAACGAAAACTCTCATAAATCATCTTTGAGAAACAAAGGACCTCTGCAAACAGAATCTTGGATATTTCTTCTGAAGGATTCCAAAAGTTGTCTTATTTGCACAGAGTAAAATACACTCAAATGTATTGTTTGCTTTAAACTTATGAAAGCAAAAATTAGAAGTTGTAAACACTGTCACCAGGGTTTATCTGAACTGTAGGGAGCTGAGAACTGAGTTAAAATAAACTGTATGCAAGCTCCTATGTTTCCTGACTTATTGTAAAGATTTTTAAAATATATATATTTTGTCTGAAACTTGCTTGTGACTTTTGTTTTGGAAAACAATTTTTTTTGGGGTGGTGGTGGGAAACAACCTACAGGGAGGTATGTATGGTAATGCTGTGCATAACAATTAGATTCTGAAAACAGAGTCTTATTTTCCTACTTGGTGAGGGAGATTAAGTGGTTATTGCAGGATGAAGGTGGCAGCTTTATTGTTTAATACTTCAGGTAGCAGTGAACCCACATCCTTGATTCTTGGCTATTGCATTTTGCTCATAACCCGAGTCAATTCTTCTCCAGCTTTGTCTGATAACTGTTTCTTCCTCTTCTAATGAAGATGTGCTTCCTCTTCTTGCAAAACATGTCAGAAAGTGGCTCCTGATCGCTATAGCTGGTTTTCCTCCCTTGTTTCACAATTCTTGTTTTCTGTGATTTTTTTTTTCCTTTTGTACCTTTTACTCTCAGCTTTTTTGGGGTAGGGGGAGGAACCCCCAAACCACAATGCTTACTCTGCTGTGTATGTTTGGGGTATTTTTTTTCTGCTGCTAACCCCTCTGGGCACAGCAGAAAACATCTGCCTTGTTCTTTTATAGTCTAACTCAGTAGTATCACATGCTGCTGCTTTTGTGTGGGACTGAAAAATCAACAGCCTCCTGGCTTTAATCTCTGGCTCCTCCTTTATGCTATTCTTGCATAGGTGGCTTTAATTCCCCGCCAGTATTTGTGCACTTAGCTGAAGGAGTAAGAAACAACTAGTTGGCTTCACTTGATCATTCCATTTATTCAATGCCTAGTTGATAAAAGCAAACAAAACTTCTGGATTATCCAAGGGAGCGTATTGTATTTATTTTTCTTGTTTGGGTTTTTTGGTTTTTGGGTTTTTTTAGACTTTGTTGCAGTAATTTAAGTAGACTTGCTTAAAAGGCAGATGCTCCATCGTGGTGAAAGAGAAGTCCAAAAAGCTGCTGCAGGAGATAGATAGTATTCATCTATGTTTTAAAAAGCTTTAGAAATGCTTCTGGCTGTGCAGTTGAGCCCCTACTGTTGCCACCTGTGAAAAGGGGATGGCACAAATGGGGTTACAACCACCTTGCAGCAAGGCTCTGGTCTTGCATACTGCATGCTATGGTAGATTGCATTTCAGGCTGCATATCCCAAAGCAAAGGGACATAAGCGAGGGAAACCTGCCCCTCTAAATCACAAGTTTGTGTTCCTGAAAGTACACTTAAACTATATGGTAGGCTTGTTGGAGATAAGTTGGTCACTTGGCTGTGCAAACAGAGATATTGATATTGCAAACTTACCCATACAGTTAAACACTCATACCATCCGAGTGCCTTGGAAATGCCAAAGCCCCGCTATGCCTATGTTTGCAATATTACAGTGTAGTTTAGAAGGATTAGTTTCATCTATGTACTTCAAGCTGCTGATGCTTCTTGCTTCCTCAAAGTGCCTGAAAATTTGCTTTTAATGCCACAAACTATGTTCTCTGATTTCCCACCCCCCCCCTTTTTCTGATGCTAAAGTTTAAGAAGTTACGTGGCTGCAACTGCTGTTGGAATCTGGCCTGTGGTCTTCTGGCTGACCTTTCGAAGTGCTGCTTTCCTATAAGAGCTCTCCCCTTCCTTTGCACTGATCTGAAAGTCCAGAGCAGTTGTGTGCTCTGCCAAGCGTATTATTTTTGGGAATGACTGGCTGGGAACTTGGTGCTGAAAGAGGTGAACCTGAAGCAGTGTCTGTCAGGTGTAGCTGCAGCGGTAGTTAGGATGACTAGACAAGTTAGGAGGTCTGGTGGCTAAACCTTTCAAGTGCTTTCTCCAGAAATCTGAGCGGAGCACGTTGTATAGTCATTTAAGCATTCTGTGACCTTCACCACTCATTTGCTGCTGATTTGAATACATAAGGGCCTATTTATTCTTGCCATTAAAAGACTAGTAAGACCAGGATGCTGTAATTGGCCCCTTGCTGTGGAGATGCTTCAAAGAAGAAAAGGGATTGTTTGCCTTCCCCTGCAGGCCTGGGAGCAGGGCCACCGGCGGCTCAGGACAGCACTGGGGTTGGCCGCTGCCGTCTCCTGGGGCTGTTCTGATGCCGTACGTATGGTTTAGGTGTGGTAGCTGGTACGGCCTGGAAGTTTCTAGGCTGCGAGTCTCCTAAGGATGAAATCTGGATTTCCCATTTATTTTAAAGACCATATATTCAGGAAACTATGTTGTGAGCTCTGGTGTCTGTCTGGCAGCAGCTACGCGAGTTGTGGAAGGAGCCCCAAATCTTTTCACTGAAACTTCTGACTGCGGAGTCCAAGGGTGTTGGAGCAAAAGCAGCAGCCACCTGCGTCGCTAGTAGGTGTTTCTGTAGCGGCTGCGTGTGTTACCCGCAGACCTCAGCAACGCCAGCTGTCCGTTACACTTGTTAGAAAGCCTGTATTCCTGTGACAAGGAGGGACATCAGTGATGTTCCGTGGGCTTCCCGGCTGCTGGGTGCCGTACCAGTGCGGAGCAAGGCAGTCCCGGGCGCCCGCTGCCTGAGTCAGGGAACAAACAGCGGTAGCCGAGGAGCCTGGCCAGAGGCTGGAAGCCAAAGAGGTGAGACAGTAAGCGGTGGCTGTCCGTTTAAAATGCTTTTGACTTAGGAGTCTGGATTTGTCATTGTGCTACGCGCTCTCAGATTTCCCCTGCAGACAATAACAAACACTCCTCTCTTTGAAACCGCTGCAAGCCCTGCAGCCTAAGAAGGACACCCCTCTCTAACTGAAAAAGTCTCCCGGATCGGAGTAAATGAAATCAAACGTCCAAGATGTAATTTAGCTTCCCCTGTGCCTCTCTCTTTCCCTGATTCTTTCCTCAAAACAATAATGGCTGCTGTGGCTTTTCTTCTGTCTCTGCTTCTCCTGGCTCTGAGAGCCGCTGGGTTGGTATGTCTCCTCTTAACTCCTGCTGAACTGATTCTATTAAAACCCCCTTACTCCACAGGGGGCTTGACCTTTTTCTGAAATACCAAATGCGTCTGCTTTGGAAATCACAAACTTCTCCTCCTCTAAAGAGCTTGTAAATCTGGTTTCAATATTGGGTGATTACAGGCTGTGCGGAGAGCTTGAAAGTAAGCAGCCACTTCTGGTAGCAGAGTGCTGGAGCTGGGCTGCCTGAGCTGAGCTGTGACTCTCGTTTTTTACCCCAGTGTGTGTTTAGCTTAAAGCCACTGACGCCAGCAGATTCACCTCGGATTAGCGGCCGGGTGAGTGGCCAGGCTCTGGTCGCAGGACGGCTTACCTTCTCTTATCAGGACCCTGGAATCCAGTTTTTGTTGTTGTACAACCACTTGTTCAGTTGTAAATGCAGGAACCTCATTGCAAGTGGATGCTGCCCTGGAGGGAAAACACCCAGAAAAGCCTGGGGAAAGAGCAAGGTTTCTCCTTGGGTGTAATGGGTGCGTCTGCACCGTCCCTTGTTGCCGTCGTGATTGTTAAAGTAAGGTAGGAGCAGAGAAAATATTTCGCCGGGCTGCCCATGTGCGATGGGATGTGCCTGTTAGCTCCTGATCAGTGGGGTTCTACAGCAAAGAAATGAAATAAAAATTTGGCCTTCTCATTGAAAAGGAGGAGGATAAGATTATCTCCCAAGGAAAAAAGATCTATGGTCAAAAAAAGACCTCCATAATAAGGCACAAGTTGAGCGAATGAAAGAAGGTGCTCTCTGAAGGAGGCAAAGTTGTCTTTATTTCTTTTTTTCAGATGCTTTCCCACATGGAGATCAATGGAAGCATGTTTGTTTTGTTCCAGTGGCTGGTCACTTTGCAGGGAAAAATCTTTCTTGTTTTGGTTCTGGGAGTTATTAATGGAAATCGTATATAGGATCCGTCACTGTATTTTATTTCTGGGAAAAAGAACAGTTGTGGAGAGGTGCTGTAAAATTACAGTTGTCTCTTGGAGGGGCCCGGTGTCTCCAACATTATGAATTCTGGCTCCCTCTAAATAAACAACCAACCTCGTTCTCTTTGTTTCACCTCTAACCCTGGTCTGCAGCCTTTATAATCCCAAGGAGTGAATCCTGAAGTAAAACAAACTGCAAGGGAAGGAAGCCAGGAGGGAGCCGCAGTGCCTGCGGATTGACAAAGCCTTCTGCTCTCCAGCCAACCTTGACAAAAGGATTCAATCCTGAACCGACCTTCAGGAGGAAAAGCAAAACAAAAACTACCTAGACTTGAACTTTCAAGACCGTAGGAGTTTAATGCTTGGTTTGATGTCTCCTAAAGGGAGCAGGGAGTTAGAAATACCAAACACCTGTCTTGCAAACCCAAATCCTAACAAGTTATCAGGAAATCTGAGCCTGAAATCAAATGGCTTTGAAAAATTTAGGATTTACTCATCACTGTTTCCAAGTCACCCGTTGTTGCTAAAAGGGCCTAAAAATGTGCTTTTTCTTCCCCAGTGTAATACTCGCGGCAGATATATAACATCCAGTTAAGCAAATAGTGAGCTCTGTTGAAACATCAATATTTAGATGCAATTTTTCACTGAATATTTCTACCTGGAAGCAGGTCCTGCCCCACCGCCCAGCCTTGCTCTCTTCCCTGTAGGCAGGACGAAAGGGAACAAGTCAGCCCTGGCTTTGTAAAAAAAGACACTGGCATGGATTTCGGGTGAGACTTTCTTTTTTAAGAAGTTTTTATTAAAACTGGAATTTTGAAGTATTTTCCCCGCTCTAGTTATCACGCTATTACAATTCATCAATGGCTGTGCAGTTGGGAAAAGCTAGTGAAATGGATTATTTTGGCTATTGGCTGCATTTAAAAAATACTGACTTGAGACAGCTTGTTAAGAATGGAGCCTCTTTAATTTTTTTTTTTAACCTAGTTTCAGGTTAGTATCTGTGGAGTAGCAGGGGGATGAGCACTCACCTTTCTTTTGATTACATTTCCATTTTTAAAAGGCGGGCAACAAAAAAACCCATAAAAGCGGCACCACGAGTAACTTTTAGCGCCCGTCTGCGACAGAGGCTCCGGGCGGCGGGGGCCCGTCAGCCGGGCAGTGCCGG